GCATTATCTTCCGTGGGTGTAGGAGCCACCTTATCATCTCCACCAACAACCTCCCACAAGTCTTCTCTAAGAATATAAGACTCCATTCATGATCTCCATACCTTGTAGTTAGATTGATTGAGCACCTCAATTCCAAGGCCAACAACCCTTTTGCTTGAATCCATTTTTGGAACACCAACGAACTTCTTCACCAAGAATGACTTGACAAGATTTCAACTTAACACTCTTATAACTCTAATACCATGTGAAGAAAGACAAATTCTAAATTTCGAAAATTGCTTTCTTAGAGTAGTGAAAAATAAATTTTCACTAGCCCAAGACTCACAACCAAAGTTGAAGAAGAATGAAAAAATTAGAATATAGCTCCAAAAATGAGGGAAGAACAAGACCTTTATTATTATGGAGAAATCTAATTTACAAGCTTATTCACAAATTCCAAATTCTGGAAATTGCTTTCTTAAAATAGTGAAAAATAAATTTCCACTAGCCCAAGACTCACAACCAAAGTTGAAGAAGAATGAAGAAATTAGAATATAGCTGCAAAAATGAGGGAAGAACAAGACCTTTATTATTATAGAGAAATCTAAGTTACAAGCTTACAATCAAGAGAGAAAGTATGAACAAGCTTGCAATGGTAATTGTTGTTGGTGATTGATTTTTGTTGGCTTAGTGATTTGGGGTGGTGGGGGGTCTATTTATAGGTGACTAGAGAAGAGTCTAGAAGCTCAAGGTAGGTGGAGGTTTAGAAGGTTTAAGAATTCTAATTTAATGGTGAGAAGGAGGTTTGGAAGGTTCAAAAACTCTAACTTAATAGTGAGAAGGAGGTTTGGAAGATTCAAGAATTCTAACTTAATGGTAAGAAGGTAAAGGTTCTAAATGTTGGTAGAAGGATACAAAGTGCAAACATGTTCTACAAAGTTCTAGATACAATAATTACCAAAAGTTTACTTTAAACTTTTAACACAACCACCTACCACCACTAAACACCCACCACCACCACCGAAACCCACCCCCATAACCCCTTTGCAAAACCCAACAACCCCCTGAAATTCACCACCCCCGTCCTGAAACCCACTACCACCGAAACCCACCCCCGCCCCCCTCCTTTGAAACCCACCACCACCCAACCCCACCCTCATCCCCGAAACCCACCACCATCCCCTGAAACCCACAACCACTCAACCCAACCCATCCCCCGAAAATCAACCACCACTCAAACCCATCACCACCGCTAAAACAAAGAAGGTTGAGATGGAGATCTTCGCTGGAGATGGAGATGTCGCTAGAGCTGGAGAAGCTTGTTCGCCAAAATTGGAGACGTCTGTGGAGTGAGCGAAGGCTGGAGGAGCTTGTTCGAAGAAGGATATTTTGTTGTAGAGTTAGAGAGGGCTGACATTTATATGGTAAGGAAAAAAAAGGATATTTTGTGTGAAAAAGGTTCGAAAGTCCAGACTTCATTAAATGGGGAATAAGAGTTGCCACTTGTTCGTGTTTTTTGATGTTTTCAAAAAAATCATTTTAAATGTTTCTATATTTTGACATTGTTTTTAAAACTGAATAATAAAAAAAAACGTAAACATTCACCAAACGTATTTTTTTTTTTTTATGAAAACAAAAAACAAAAACATTGTGCTACTAAATGGCACCTAAATAAGAACAAATTCAAATTTAAAAAAGGATAAAATATGATCATTAAATCTTTAGAAAAGAGTAAAATCTTACCATTATAAATTTGTATATGAATTTGAGTCTTTCTTGATTTAAAAAAAAAAATAAGGCTCTTAATTTAAGTGTGAGAAAAAAAAATTTAAAATTTTACCCAAATTTAAATTTTAGTTTAAAAAAAATAAATATTAGAGATGCTTGTAATCTCAACCTAATCAGATTCGTCCAAACTCCAAAGTCCAAACAAGCCGCGGCCCCCTCTCTCTCTCTCTCTCTCTTTCTCTCTCGCTGGCCAGGTAAGAAGTTAACGCCTCCTCAGATCCTCTCCCTCTTTCTGTCTTCTCCAGAATGAGGTTTGTTTTCGTTGATTCAAGATAGATCTAGTCATTCTTTTTTCTTTTAGACGGAAAGAATCCATTTGGTTGCATGTTCTGTTTGGTTGCTAAGAAATTGAAGAGAAAGAAAACATTAAGGAACTTGAAAGCTTAGATTTCCCCAGAACAAACGGACCCGATATTACTCAAACCCTGATCTTGATGTGATTTTTCAGTTAACGATAAAAAAAAATATTAATAAATCAGTATATTTTGAACAAGTTCCTTCATTTTTTTGAGCAAGTTAAGTAAAAGCTCCCCTGTTTCTCAAATTTCTGTCGTTTCTTATAGATCCATGGCTTAAATATGTAAAAGTAGATGGGCTTACCTTTTTGCTAGCTTTCTTGCATTTTCTTTTACAGTTCTGTTGTATCTGATATATGTATAANAAGACTCACAACCAAAGTTGAAGAAGAATGAAAAAATTAGAATATAGCTCCAAAAATGAGGGAAGAACAAGACCTTTATTATTATGGAGAAATCTAATTTACAAGCTTATTCACAAATTCCAAATTCTGGAAATTGCTTTCTTAAAATAGTGAAAAATAAATTTCCACTAGCCCAAGACTCACAACCAAAGTTGAAGAAGAATGAAGAAATTAGAATATAGCTGCAAAAATGAGGGAAGAACAAGACCTTTATTATTATAGAGAAATCTAAGTTACAAGCTTACAATCAAGAGAGAAAGTATGAACAAGCTTGCAATGGTAATTGTTGTTGGTGATTGATTTTTGTTGGCTTAGTGATTTGGGGTGGTGGGGGGTCTATTTATAGGTGACTAGAGAAGAGTCTAGAAGCTCAAGGTAGGTGGAGGTTTAGAAGGTTTAAGAATTCTAATTTAATGGTGAGAAGGAGGTTTGGAAGGTTCAAAAACTCTAACTTAATAGTGAGAAGGAGGTTTGGAAGATTCAAGAATTCTAACTTAATGGTAAGAAGGTAAAGGTTCTAAATGTTGGTAGAAGGATACAAAGTGCAAACATGTTCTACAAAGTTCTAGATACAATAATTACCAAAAGTTTACTTTAAACTTTTAACACAACCACCTACCACCACTAAACACCCACCACCACCACCGAAACCCACCCCCATAACCCCTTTGCAAAACCCAACAACCCCCTGAAATTCACCACCCCCGTCCTGAAACCCACTACCACCGAAACCCACCCCCGCCCCCCTCCTTTGAAACCCACCACCACCCAACCCCACCCTCATCCCCGAAACCCACCACCATCCCCTGAAACCCACAACCACTCAACCCAACCCATCCCCCGAAAATCAACCACCACTCAAACCCATCACCACCGCTAAAACAAAGAAGGTTGAGATGGAGATCTTCGCTGGAGATGGAGATGTCGCTAGAGCTGGAGAAGCTTGTTCGCCAAAATTGGAGACGTCTGTGGAGTGAGCGAAGGCTGGAGGAGCTTGTTCGAAGAAGGATATTTTGTTGTAGAGTTAGAGAGGGCTGACATTTATATGGTAAGGAAAAAAAAGGATATTTTGTGTGAAAAAGGTTCGAAAGTCCAGACTTCATTAAATGGGGAATAAGAGTTGCCACTTGTTCGTGTTTTTTGATGTTTTCAAAAAAATCATTTTAAATGTTTCTATATTTTGACATTGTTTTTAAAACTGAATAATAAAAAAAAACGTAAACATTCACCAAACGTATTTTTTTTTTTTTATGAAAACAAAAAACAAAAACATTGTGCTACTAAATGGCACCTAAATAAGAACAAATTCAAATTTAAAAAAGGATAAAATATGATCATTAAATCTTTAGAAAAGAGTAAAATCTTACCATTATAAATTTGTATATGAATTTGAGTCTTTCTTGATTTAAAAAAAAAAATAAGGCTCTTAATTTAAGTGTGAGAAAAAAAAATTTAAAATTTTACCCAAATTTAAATTTTAGTTTAAAAAAAATAAATATTAGAGATGCTTGTAATCTCAACCTAATCAGATTCGTCCAAACTCCAAAGTCCAAACAAGCCGCGGCCCCCTCTCTCTCTCTCTCTCTCTTTCTCTCTCGCTGGCCAGGTAAGAAGTTAACGCCTCCTCAGATCCTCTCCCTCTTTCTGTCTTCTCCAGAATGAGGTTTGTTTTCGTTGATTCAAGATAGATCTAGTCATTCTTTTTTCTTTTAGACGGAAAGAATCCATTTGGTTGCATGNTCCTTTGAAACCCACCACCACCCAACCCCACCCTCATCCCCGAAACCCACCACCATCCCCTGAAACCCACAACCACTCAACCCAACCCATCCCCCGAAAATCAACCACCACTCAAACCCATCACCACCGCTAAAACAAAGAAGGTTGAGATGGAGATCTTCGCTGGAGATGGAGATGTCGCTAGAGCTGGAGAAGCTTGTTCGCCAAAATTGGAGACGTCTGTGGAGTGAGCGAAGGCTGGAGGAGCTTGTTCGAAGAAGGATATTTTGTTGTAGAGTTAGAGAGGGCTGACATTTATATGGTAAGGAAAAAAAAGGATATTTTGTGTGAAAAAGGTTCGAAAGTCCAGACTTCATTAAATGGGGAATAAGAGTTGCCACTTGTTCGTGTTTTTTGATGTTTTCAAAAAAATCATTTTAAATGTTTCTATATTTTGACATTGTTTTTAAAACTGAATAATAAAAAAAAACGTAAACATTCACCAAACGTATTTTTTTTTTTTTATGAAAACAAAAAACAAAAACATTGTGCTACTAAATGGCACCTAAATAAGAACAAATTCAAATTTAAAAAAGGATAAAATATGATCATTAAATCTTTAGAAAAGAGTAAAATCTTACCATTATAAATTTGTATATGAATTTGAGTCTTTCTTGATTTAAAAAAAAAAATAAGGCTCTTAATTTAAGTGTGAGAAAAAAAAATTTAAAATTTTACCCAAATTTAAATTTTAGTTTAAAAAAAATAAATATTAGAGATGCTTGTAATCTCAACCTAATCAGATTCGTCCAAACTCCAAAGTCCAAACAAGCCGCGGCCCCCTCTCTCTCTCTCTCTCTCTTTCTCTCTCGCTGGCCAGGTAAGAAGTTAACGCCTCCTCAGATCCTCTCCCTCTTTCTGTCTTCTCCAGAATGAGGTTTGTTTTCGTTGATTCAAGATAGATCTAGTCATTCTTTTTTCTTTTAGACGGAAAGAATCCATTTGGTTGCATGTTCTGTTTGGTTGCTAAGAAATTGAAGAGAAAGAAAACATTAAGGAACTTGAAAGCTTAGATTTCCCCAGAACAAACGGACCCGATATTACTCAAACCCTGATCTTGATGTGATTTTTCAGTTAACGATAAAAAAAAATATTAATAAATCAGTATATTTTGAACAAGTTCCTTCATTTTTTTGAGCAAGTTAAGTAAAAGCTCCCCTGTTTCTCAAATTTCTGTCGTTTCTTATAGATCCATGGCTTAAATATGTAAAAGTAGATGGGCTTACCTTTTTGCTAGCTTTCTTGCATTTTCTTTTACAGTTCTGTTGTATCTGATATATGTATAATTGTTGCAAGAGAGCTTTGATAGGAATCAACAAAAAGAATCAGTCAATAGATTAGAAAAACAGTTGAGGAAACAACTGCAACACCATCTTGAATATTGTGGATCCTTTGGTTGTGATAAAGACACAAGTGTGGGTTATATTATAAATTCATGAATGTGTTGTTATTATGAATTATGTTCAATTGTGTTGTAGACAAGCCTTTAATCTTATTAGTATTATTGTTGTTGTTCTTGAATTAATCATGTTATGACTCATGATGTTGTTACATAAATTAATTGTTATGGGCGGGGCGGGGCTGGGCTGGGGCCGAGTTGGGAGATGGGGATTAAGATTTACCCGCTGGACGGGGATGGGGTTAAAACTAGCAGGATGGACAGATTTTTTTTTAAGCGGGTATGAGGTGGAGATTGCTCCTCTCGTCCCGATCCATTGACATCCCTTTGTGGGTCCCACTTATATTTAAGCCCAAAGTTGCTCAAATTCGCATTGTTCAAACCATTTTTTCCAACATAGCTTAGTTTGGGATCCTTATATTTCTGAAACACTATGTGGTTGCTGTCCCCATCAGAATTTAGATTGGGTAATGACGCTTTCCTTGGGGTGTGCAATCGGATTTCCTGTTCCATCTGTTGATCGTATATGTATGCCAGATTGGTGGCTCAAAAGCCATTTAAGCTGTTCTTGTTGGGCTAAATGGCATCAATATTTTTCTGGTCTACATTGGTTTCCCTTACGTGCTTGTTTCTCACGCTCAATGGAAACACGTGTATAGGTCCTAGGAGGTGCATTGTTTACTTTGATCAGTCAACTACTCCGCTTCTCAAGGAGGATACAATTACATAAGCTGCCATTGAATAACCATCTCATCACTTTCAAATTCTGGACGTTTTTACCCTTTTTTATGCAGCAATTTGTTTTGGGTTTTCCCATTTCATTTTTTTTGTCTCCTTTCAGTCCCTTAAGGTTTCCATTTTTTTTCCTTATTTGAATCTCTTGATTTCTTCATTTTCCCTAATTTGTTCCATGGTTAAAATTAATAACCTCATCCCTATGTCCCCAAAATTGGGATGAAGGCACCTTATCTTCTTGTTGTTGCTCTGCCATTTTTTATTTTTTTTGCATTTGCTGCCTCTTATTTCATGCAATTTGGGGACTAATTTTCATTTGTATTCTTCTTCTCCCTTTTGCTAATTTTTTGAATTTTATGAAAAAATTATATTCTTTTTTATATGTGAATTTTGTTTTGGGTGTAGATCTCGGAAAGATGATGCACTGGGTTCTATAGATGCTGTCAATCTCATAACAGACTCAGTGTCAAAATTAGACATTAGCACAGTAGAAGCCCAGATGAAACCAATTGCTGAGCAATCCGCTGTTTTAGGCATTTCGGAGTGCAAGTGTGGAATGCCATTGTGCATTTGTGAAGCTCCAGCTCCACCAAGAGATAAACTTACCTCGCAGGCAAGAATCGTTTAATGGATTCAATGGCATCGCACATGAACACCATGGACCTTATGTATTTTTTATTTATTTCTATGGACAGATCAAAACTACTTCCACTTCAACAGTACTATCATACCCAAAGCAAAAGAAGACAGACACTCCGAAGAGTGGAGGTTCTACGTCAAACAGCAAGCATAGGTACTTTACATCTAAATTTTGAACCTTCACTAACTGTTTAGTCTGGGCCTCTGGCTAAATTTTAACCTGGAATTTCTCTGATGTGATATATTTTTCTAGATTTTTAGATGGTTACCTTCTGTCTGTGTATTGATATCTGGCAGGAGTTGAGTTAAAATTTTCAGTATGATTAAGCTAATTTACTGGCAGTAGCTCAGAAAATGTACTCCAATTAAACATTTTACCCCACTGTTGTACTTCTTGTAATTTGATGCCAGTTCATGTTTCATTTCACTATGACTTATACCTTGTTAAGTTTTGTGTACTAAAAGTTGCTGAAGCCTAGTACATTCAGGATCATATTTATACAGTGTCTCGCATAGCTCATCACTCGTCAAAGTCATCACTTTTCTGTTTGGATGCTTTTAGAATATGATTGACTTGTTTTCTGGAAGCAGACTTGGTGACAAATTTTGTTACAGTAAATTTATTGTTTCCTACAACCTCGCGAGGTGAATTCATGTGTGTGACCAGGATAGTCAGGTCAGTTTAGAAAAAACAAAGATATTCAGGTTGATTCCCTATTTCTTTCTTTCTTACTGGTCTCTAATACATACTTACCCTTTTTGTCACTGAAGAAAACATAATAGCATGTTTGGTTCATATAAATGTTATAATTTTATTAAGTGGTGTATGCTGATGTTTTATGGCTATACATGTTTGACATTTTCCATTTATAACTAACCTGTGTAAAATTTTGCAGTACAATCTTTAATTATGGACAGGTTACTGACAGTAGTTTGGAAAAGTCGCTTATGGAGTATGAAGTTAATGGAGAGGTATATAGAACTACATTTTCCGTTTGGGATAGTGGATAGATCTACGGAACTGAGAGAAGCCTAGTTTTTTTCTGGGGAATGATCTATTAATGGTTTTTTTTTTTTTTTGATCGATGATAAATTGATGGTTGGATAGTTACATTTTGAAAATGGTTGCATAGGGATTGAGAGAAGCAATAAAGAATGGGGACACTGCTGCTGTCAAGAAGCTTCTGAGTGAGGTATTTTTGTTTCTTTTTATAATGCTATGCTTCATTAGATAGTTATTATTTGAGTACTTCATCTGTGTTGATATACCCTTCAATTATAACCATTTGGAAGGGAGTCGATGTAAATTACTGTGACAAGCAAGGATCGTCTGTGTTACATCTGGTACTCTCTCGTTCTCTCTCTCATGTCTGCATGCGAGATGATAATAATTGCTTTCAAAAAAGTATAATTCTTATGACTGTTTGTAGGCAGCAGTTTTCAATAGAACAGATATCGCTTTGGCCCTTATGGAATGTGGGGCAAGTCTGGACCACAAGAATTCACAGGGTATAAATTCCTAGCCCAGCTCAACTTTTCAGTTTGATTAATTAGGTGGATAATCTGTTGTTTGGAATGCGAATGACATTGCCTTGGCACTTAGCAGAGCATTCACAGAGCAGGTTGTAGCGTAGGTTATTTGTGTTCAAACAAACAATAAAACAGAACCTTTCGTAAGTCTTTTGAATTGTGCTAATCTAGGTTTTACTAGACCCTGTTGTGATATATATGTGATTTCAGAGCTGGGTTAGTCCATAATGTAACCATGTCCATTATCATGATATCTCACTGAAAATATCTCCTGTTCAGGGGAAACACCGGTAGATTGCGCTCCTGCCACATTGCAATTCAAGATGAAAAATAAGATGGAAGAACTTGAGCAACTGGGCCCACGTCCCATAATCTGAGTACAAAATTTGCTTTCTACATTTGCCTGTGCCACCCTGTTATTTGTTCATGGAAATCACGATTGCAACCCAACTTTTGGATGTGGCCGTGGCAATGAGCAAACATCTGGTGATAGAGAATATGAAATTATGTCCAGCAGTGTATTTCAAAATGTTCCATTCCCTCCCCTGGATGGAGGTTGTTGCAAGTTATTATAACATCCATGGAGGCCTATTATAGCTAAAGATGTTACTCAGTCATTCCTTTTGCACTCGCCCCTCTTGTTCTTCCATTTTTCATGTGATGGGGATTTTTTTTTTAAAATATAATTTTGTGGGGGTTTGGCGGCTCAAAGGACTTGAAAAGTAACTAATTACATAGGGATGCTGATAATGCCTTCCTATTCAGACCAAGTGCTTTTTTTCGACTCCATTTATTAGGTTACATCGCGTGACAGTGTTAACATTGTGTAACTTAACCGTTACATCTAATATTTATTTCATCATCCATGAATTCTTTAAATTATGGACCCAAGGCTGTCGCAGACTAGCCCCTCTCTCTCTCTCTTCCACACACACAAGCCCGCATGTGAAGTCAGAGGTTTTTCTTTTGTGTAGTTTTTGGATTTTGCAACAAGTGATCGTTATAAACTGTTCAGGGCTGCTCTTGTTTTTGTGTTTAGAAGAAGAGTCTTGTCTTGGGCTCTTATGTTCCGTTTGGTAAGAATGATGGATGGTAAGAAAATTAAGGGTTATTACTCTTCCTCCCCCCCTTCTTATTCCAACAATTCAAGATCATCGGTGATTGGGTACCAGAAAGCAGTGACACAACTTGTGCGGTCTGCGTAGACGGGTTGAAAAAGCAAGATGAAGTTTAGTGAGCTTGACAACTGTTATCACGTGTTCCACAGGCGATGTATCGAGAAATGGTTTTATCACGATATTCGTATGACGTGTCCGCTCTGTCGGATCCCATTGCTCACCAGGATCCATTCATTTCCTCCTCCTCCTCCTCCTCGTTGTCCCACCAGCATCAACCTTGGACTATTTGATCCTTCACTTTCTCGGAAAGTATACCCTAACATTAGTCAAGTGTTTTCTAGAATCAAGAAAAATGGTTTTGGAAAAGAACCTACTGAATAAATATATAGGCCCCACCTTAGGAGAATGCCAAAATAATAGCTACGATAGTACTTAAACAACTCATGAACAAAACCTTCATTCCAACTATTTGGGTTGGATTTCAAAAATCTAATTTCTCTTTTACTCTCTATCAAGGATCATATGTTCCTTTAAATCATAAATTATTATTTTTTTACTATTTCATTTATAGTTATATTACGTCTAGTTCTACCTTTTGCATCATCATCAATATCAATGTTATTAGAACTGAACCGGACAGACCAGTCAGATAGATTCAACCGTGACCTGGGGCCTTAACCGGGTCGGTTCTTTAGTTAGACCGCTTAAGGAATAGAATCGGCTCAAAATTGATAAACCGGCCGATTTTTGGCCAAAATCGTGAACCGGTAGATTTTATAAAGTCAGACGGTTCAAATTTCACTCGTTATATAAAAAAAATATCCCTTTTATAAAAATTAATTTCATTCCAACTTCGTCTTCACTCCTCCGAGCGACGAATAGCTCCAGGCATGGCGGCACAGCTCCGATGAACAGCAGTAACTCTCTACTCAATCTTGATTCCTTCTAGATCTGCACCTTCTCCACTCAATCTCTCTCACTTAGTCGATCTGAGTCATCTCTCTCACTCAATCGATCTGAGTCATCTCTCTCACTCAATCTCCTTCGTTCCCCTTGGTTATGGTGGTAGTGTTCATTTCTACAATTGTTCAAATTTGTGTTATCTGATTGTTCAAATGTATGAAAAAAAAAAAAAAAGATTGTTCAAACTTCAAAGTTCGTCCTTATCTTCTCTAATCTTTATCTTTCATATGAATTTGATATTTGGAATATAAGTTTCTAGTTTTGTGTTTTGTCTACTTAACTTTGTTAATTTTATGGCAAACTGTACGAATTTTAAACATATGTAGTTGAAATATTTTGTTCTGTAATGTTTTTAATTTTTTTATTTTATAGTCAATCTAACCAGTTGACCTAACGGTTGAACCAACAGTCTCTCTGTCGGTTCAATGGCTAATCCGGTTCTGATAACATTGATCAATATGTGTTAGATTGTTCTTTCTTACCGATGCATTATGATTTTTTTGTGTTACAAAAAAATATACCAAAATATTTTTATTTTTTATTAAACTTTAAAAATTAAAATCAGTAGACCATGATTGTTTAAAATTAAAATATTTTTTTCCAAATTAAAATTGATAAAATATTCTATAAGTTCGATTATTACAAGAAAGATTATGTGGATTAGTGATATTATCAATATAATAAAAAAATATAGTAGCGAAACTTAAAAATAAAAACTAATAGCACTTTTAATATCAAAAAACAAGAAGAATAAATTTTATATAGAATTATTAATCTTAAAAATAAAAACCTCATTTATAGTTGTCACTTTAGGCCTCAAATAGTCTTGCCCAAAACCATGTTTCTCTCCATACTTCTAATTGTCGTTTTAGCTTCATAAATTAATATTTATCATCGACAAATGATTTTTACCATGGAACCGCATCTTGAAAGTATCTAGTCAATTCATCCATAATTAAGGTAAGATTCATGGACTTAAAGTAAAATTTTAAAATAGCATTGAAAATATAATGGTGGTTTCTCTCATTTTTCTTATTAGTTGAGATTTAAAATAATAACAGACTATAAAAATGTCTTTTTCTCTTCCATAATATTTATAGCATGTTGACTTTAAGTGTATATACTTGTTATTACATTAAATAATGTTATTGTTCATCAAGGTTTTTGTCCATGTCGCAAAGTTTTTACTATTAAATAAGTGAGTCCCATTAATATTCAATGATCGGGACTTATTCCATTTCTTCGCAGACACTTATTTCTAGTGTAATTAAATTAGTCAAACTTCGATTTACTTCCTTGTAATTAAAATGTTTTGCACGTCAACCGTTTAAAAATAGTATTACNTTTATCTTTCATATGAATTTGATATTTGGAATATAAGTTTCTAGTTTTGTGTTTTGTCTACTTAACTTTGTTAATTTTATGGCAAACTGTACGAATTTTAAACATATGTAGTTGAAATATTTTGTTCTGTAATGTTTTTAATTTTTTTATTTTATAGTCAATCTAACCAGTTGACCTAACGGTTGAACCAACAGTCTCTCTGTCGGTTCAATGGCTAATCCGGTTCTGATAACATTGATCAATATGTGTTAGATTGTTCTTTCTTACCGATGCATTATGATTTTTTTGTGTTACAAAAAAATATACCAAAATATTTTTATTTTTTATTAAACTTTAAAAATTAAAATCAGTAGACCATGATTGTTTAAAATTAAAATATTTTTTTCCAAATTAAAATTGATAAAATATTCTATAAGTTCGATTATTACAAGAAAGATTATGTGGATTAGTGATATTATCAATATAATAAAAAAATATAGTAGCGAAACTTAAAAATAAAAACTAATAGCACTTTTAATATCAAAAAACAAGAAGAATAAATTTTATATAGAATTATTAATCTTAAAAATAAAAACCTCATTTATAGTTGTCACTTTAGGCCTCAAATAGTCTTGCCCAAAACCATGTTTCTCTCCATACTTCTAATTGTCGTTTTAGCTTCATAAATTAATATTTATCATCGACAAATGATTTTTACCATGGAACCGCATCTTGAAAGTATCTAGTCAATTCATCCATAATTAAGGTAAGATTCATGGACTTAAAGTAAAATTTTAAAATAGCATTGAAAATATAATGGTGGTTTCTCTCATTTTTCTTATTAGTTGAGATTTAAAATAATAACAGACTATAAAAATGTCTTTTTCTCTTCCATAATATTTATAGCATGTTGACTTTAAGTGTATATACTTGTTATTACATTAAATAATGTTATTGTTCATCAAGGTTTTTGTCCATGTCGCAAAGTTTTTACTATTAAATAAGTGAGTCCCATTAATATTCAATGATCGGGACTTATTCCATTTCTTCGCAGACACTTATTTCTAGTGTAATTAAATTAGTCAAACTTCGATTTACTTCCTTGTAATTAAAATGTTTTGCACGTCAACCGTTTAAAAATAGTATTACTCTTTGAGTAAGAGCATGTTATTGAGACCTAATTTATTTACTTAATTTGCTGATCTAATTCACTATGACTTTTGGATTGACTGTAGAGCCCATCAAACAATGTAACTTAGTATTAATCCAATAATTCTATTGAAATTACATCATTATATCAATAAATTATGTCAAATTTTTATGTCAAAATAATTATCAATCACATGACAGTCACGAAGACCAGGGATCACCAAAGGCACGAAGCAATGATAGCTTTCTAGAACATAAGATTTGATACATTCAAAAAAGTGTTGGACAAATTGCAGTCCCAAGTTATAGCTATCGCTATTCCAATTGGTATGAAGACTAACCGGCCAAAACACGAAATCGCACGGACACACTTAGCTGTATTGATGTTTTTTTTTAAAAATTTGTTTCTTTGATTAATTGTTATGATTCGTGGTTAGTTTTGGGTGTGAATATGTGTGATAAAATATAATATGTTTTCGAAGAGGACTCTGTTAAATTTTATTTGTTACATCAATTATTTTGATACGAGAGTTTTTGAAGAAAACTCTTTGATGTTAGGTTTACCTATTATGCCACGTTCAAACAATAGAAATAGTAATTTCAATTGGATATATTATTGAACACCAATGTTCTAGATAGTGACGAAATTTACTGTTTTTGCTCTTGTTAAAATCATTTTTAAAGTGATGAATTATAATATTAGAAGTTAACTTGGAATGTAAGTGGGGCCATTTAATTTGTACCCAACCCTTTGGATTTTAAACTTTGTTTAAATCACGGTTAAACTAATAGATGCTGTACTGATGCTGTAATTGTTTAAATCACTGTTTATATCTATGGTTATACCTCTTGTCCACATTGTTGTATATTTTTCTATCTTTTAATGACTTCGTAATTTTCATCAAGGACAAGACTTTGATCAGTGGTAATTATTCATAAATATATTTGGCCAATGAAAATTATATGAAAACATAAAATGAAATTAATAAAAATTTACTTTATGAAAGAAACAGTGGTGACTTATTAAGTACTCTAAGAACCCATCAATAATGCAAGAAATGTTCGTAAACTAGCAAATCCTATAAAAGCAACCATTATAGAATTTTTCTGATAGACAAATTTAGCAAAATGAACATTATAAAAAAAAAAAAAAAGAAGAAGAACTAAGTGGGTGTATTTATAAATTTATATAATGAGCAGAGGCTAATTGAGCTAATTATAGGTAAGCTAATATTAATTGGCTATTAGAAGATAGAGTTGGGAGCCTAGAGTTGGTCTACTTATGTGCTGCTCCTCAA